GCGGAGCCAAAGTCCGGGGCGGAGCCTACATTGGGGGCGGGGCTCGGGGCGGAGCCTGCCTCCGCGCTGGCGCTGCTCAGCGAGCGCGTGCTGCACGCGGCGGCCGAGGCGCAGCGCGCTGCCGCCCGCTTCCACCAGTTGGACGAGAAGTTCCAGGAGCTGGCGCGGCTCGTGAGCCATCAGGGCGGCCTCATCGCCCGCCTGGAGCGCTTGTGTCCCGGGGGCGCGGGCGAGCAGCAGCAGGTAACCGCGGGGCCTTTGCTGACAGCAGCGGCTCGCTGTGCGCATGCCCCGTGCGGTGGGTGTCCTGCAACCCCATCTCTTATCCGCAGTTCCGAAATCCGGGAAAAAACCCAAACCGGATTGTAGCCCCTCCCCGCTGCTTGTTTGGGTCCAAACGTGATTAGTGGCCATAGACATAGTCTCACCTCATCCACTTGATGTGAATCTTCGTAGGATCCTGTACTGAAGGTTATTATCATGTGAAGGGCAAACGATCACTGTTCATCTCTGGAACATGTCTGGGCCCGGGTTTGGGATGGTTGCTGACAGTCCCTACTTACAGAGTTGACAGAAATTTGGGAAGTCGGATGTGCTTTTATTATTACCACTTATAGATAGGGAGACTGAGACACAGAACAGTTATGCTGTGAACTCCATAATGGGAATATTATGGGAACCCCCTTTTTTTTTTTGCGATAAGATCTATGTGGTATAGGTCTGGCCTTAAATTTGCGATCCTCCTGCCTCAGCCTCCCTAGTTCTGGAATTGCACGTGTACACCACCATACGCTGCCTGGCTCCCGGGTGGGATTCAGCTCAGCTGTATCTGCGCTTTGAAGCCAAGAGTTAGGCTGGGGAGAGTCAGTCTAGGGCTGGGACGTCCCCTCCTGCCTTCCTGTTTATCTGGGTGCTAGGAGAGTGACCCCCCCAGCTGAGGGTTAGGGCGATTGCATTTCCGATTGTTACCCCAGGTCCCGCCCCCGCCCCTGGTGCCTGTGGTTCCCTTGAGTCTGGTGGGCAACGCCAGTAACACCAGGAGCCTGGACCCAGCCCCGGAATCCCGGAGAGACCAGACGCTCAGACAGCAGGGGCCCCTGGCCTCCCCCTCACCCGCAGGGCGCCCTGCCAGCCCGACCAAGCCAGCAGGTAAGAGGCAGGCAGGATGTTACGGGCGCGAGTAGCCCCAGTGCAGTATGGGTAGCAGGAAATAAAAGGATTCCTCTCAGGTGAGTGGCCTGGAAGAAATGATGCTCTTATTCTGATAATGGAACAGGGAGATAGGGCTCTTATTCTGCTAAACCCACCAGAGCTGAGATGCCACTCATGGTTGGTAGCATGCTGGCCCAACATGCTGAAGGGTCTGGGTTACAGTACTGCATAAAACCAAACCAAAACCAAAACACCAGACTTCTAACGATGCTATGCAAATAGCAAAAGGAGAAATTAGTAGAGGAAGAACGCTTAATTGATGAGGGACAGATTTAGGAACGCTCCTTTGGGAGAAGGCAAGTTGGTTCAGAGTATCATCAGGACTTTTTTTTGGTCTTTTTGAGACATGGTCTTGCTACACCGTTCAGGCTGGCCTTGAGATCACTTTGTAGCCCTGTAGATTCTCCTGCGTCAGCCTCCCGCGTGCTGGGATTACAGGCGTGTGCCACCACACCCGGCTGGATTTATATTTTATTTTATTTATTTATTTTTAGGGCCGGGGATATATAGCTCAGCGGCGTAAATGCCTGCCTAGCAAGTGCAAGGTCCTGAGTTCGATTCCCAGTTCCAAAAAAAGAAAAAAAAAAGAATTATATTTATTTTTTGGTACCAGGAATCGAACTCGGGACCTTGCGCTTGCCAAGCAAGGCGCTGTGCCACTGAGCTACATCCCCGGCTGGACTTATGTTTTAGTGGAAACACAGAGCCTGATTTAAAAGGCCCAGACTCCCTATTTGCTCTGGTAAGAGAGGAGGGACTTATAGTCTTCCAGAGGTACAGAAATAGCACTTAAGTGTCCTTACTCAGGTGAGGGAAAGGAAGAAGGACTCCTGTTTTGGTGAGGGGACCAGAGGGAATCAGGACTCTTATTCTACTGAGGGATTGGTTGGGCCAGGCCGTGCCTCTCCCATGTTCCTGTGCTCACAGGCCCGTGGCAGGACTGTGCTGAGGCCCACCAGGCGGGCCACGGGCAAAGCGGGGTGTACGAGCTGCGCCTCGGCCGGCAGGTGGTGTCTGTGTGGTGTGAGCAGCAGCTGGAGGGGGGCGGCTGGACTGTGATCCAGCGGCGGCAGGACGGCTCTGTCAACTTCTTCACCACCTGGCAGCAGTACAAGGTGGGTATGGCAGGCAGAGGCGGGCCGGGCGGGGCGGGCACTGGTCCCTGACGCCTCGTCCTCTCGCAGGTGGGCTTTGGGCGGCCCGACGGGGAGTACTGGCTGGGCCTCGAACCTGTGCACCAGCTGACCAGCCGCGGGGACCACGAACTGCTGGTGCTGCTGGAGGACTGGGGGGGCCGCGGGGCCCACGCCCACTACGACAGCTTCTCCCTGGAGCCCGAGACCGACCACTACCGCCTACGGCTCGGCCAGTACCACGGGGACGCGGGGGATTCTCTTTCCTGGCACAACGACAAGCCCTTCAGCACAGTGGATAGGGACCGAGACTCTTATTCTGGTGAGGAGAGCTGCTATTCTGGTGGGAGGACGGGGCAGTGTGACTCCTAGTGAGGAAATGGGAAGTGGTGGGGTGCGATTCTCTTCTGGTAAGCTTTAGAGTGAGGAAACTTCTCTTCTGGTAAGAGAACAAGCACAGGACTTTTATTCTGATAAGGGGATGGGGAGTCCATATTCTTTCTCTGAAAAGGCCAAAAGAATTAAGAATCCTCTTCTGGTGGAAGGTAGACGGCAGGAGCTAGAACATTTCTTTGTTTTGTTTTTTGAGACAGGGTCTTCTTATGCAGCCCCGGATGGCCTTGAACTTACCATGTACCCCAGGCTGGCTTCAAACTGGCAGCGATCTTCCTGCCTCAGCCTCTTAAATGCTGGGATTATAGGTGTGCGCCACCAGGCCCGGCTTAGAACATTTTAAAAAATCTAGCCTTGTGCCTGCTGAGCACATGCTCTACGGCAGCCCAGACTTACTGCAGAAAGGAAACAGAGAATTTGTTTTGTGAAGGAATGGCTGGACTTCTACTTGGTAGAAAACACAGGAAAGGCATGACTTATGTTTTGATAAGAAGACAGAAAAGGAATTAAGGCTGTTACTCCAAAAGTGGGAGCTTTTATTCTGGTGAGGAGACATCAGGGTTTATATGCAATAAGACTAGGAAGGGCGAGGGGATGCCTAGCGAAAGCCTTGCACGAGGAGGTACTGAGAGACGCTTTTCTTTCACCCCTCAGGAAACTGTGCCCTGTACCAGCGTGGGGGGTGGTGGTATCATGCCTGTGCCCACTCCAACCTCAACGGGGTCTGGCACCGGGGTGGCCACTACCGAAGCCGCTACCAGGACGGTGTCTACTGGGCCGAGTTCCACGGCGGGGCTTACTCGCTCAAGAAGGCCGCCATGCTCATCCGGCCCGTGAGGCTGTGACTCTGTCCCTCTGTCCCCGCGGTCCAGGGTGACCCAGCCACGCCTCCCTTGCGGCTTGGCTTCTGTCCCAGCCTGTCCCACGGCGGTGGATCTGGTTCCCGGGGCCCCTGAAAGCAGGGCCCAGGAGCCCCCTGCCAAAATCTCAGGCCCAGACGGCGCCCGCGGGCATCTCTGTGTGGGGTTGAGCTCAGAGTCGCTAAGAACACAGTACCGCAGCCTGGCGTGCTCACTCGCGGGGCCCGGCCGCCTCCTCGCCCTCGTCCTCGTCCTCCTCCTTCAGGTCCTCCAGGATGAGGTCGTCCAGGTCCTCCAGCAGCCCGCCCTGGCTCAGGCAGGTGGCCACGGTGGAGCCGCTGCTGATGTGAGGGAGGCTGGGGTGCAGGACCTTGGGCAGGTGGTTCTGCTTGCGACTCTTGGGGTGAGCGCAGGAAGTCCCGGGCACGTGGGGCTCTGGGAATGCAAAGGGGCAGAGGCCACAGGAAAGGGCCGAGAGCTGCAGAGAGCTCAGACCGAGACCGCAGCAGACCAGGGGCATGGTCACGCGGGGCGGGGGTCACAGGACGCAGAGCGGGAGCCAGGCCTCAGAGGCCGTGGGTACCTTGTGTGTCCAACGTGGCCCTGAGGGTGGGTGGGGGACTAAGTAGTTAAGGGGACTGAAGCTTCCTTGTTTGTTTTCTGAGACAGGGTCTCACTGTGCAGTTCAGGCTGGTCTTGAGCTCACTTTATAACCCAGGATGGCTTTTCCTACCTCAGTCTCCCAAGAACTGGAGTTGCAGGTGTGCGCCACCACGCCTGCCAAACTTCCATATTTAAAAAAATTTATTTTTCTGATTTTGGGTCTTGCTCTGTAGCCCAGGCTGGCCTTGAGCTCCCTATGTAGCCCAGTCTGTCCATATTTATTTTAGTTTTCACAGTTCTGGGGATTGAATCCAAGGCCTTTCCGCTGAGCTACACACCCCAGTGCCCCTCGCTTGGGTGTTTGGAGACAGGGTCTCACTAGGGCTTGAACTCACTACACAGCTCAGGCTGGCCTCTACCTGCTGGCAATCCCGGGGCCTGGCTACCGCGCCCAGCCCCCAACCCCTTTTTAAAATTTTTGTATTTTGAGACAGGGTCCTGCTGTCACTCAATTGCCCAGGCTAGGTTTGAACTTGAGATTTTCCTGCCTCAGCCTCCCAGAGTGCTGAAATTACAAATGTGCCACCACGCCTGGCTGAAGCCACCATACTTAAACCTGCAGGAGAGGACACAGACTCTGCCTGTCAGTGTCCCCCCAAAAGTCCCCCCGCCTCAGGGCCTCACCTCGCCGGTTGTAGCAGTCAGCAGCCGAGCAGGAGTGGGTGTGCGTGCTGCGCCGATCCATGTTTGTGTCCAAGCGCGGGGGTAGGATCCGTGTCGGAGACACGGGGTAGCCACACCCGTAGCAGGGAGACTGGGACTCCATCTGTGCCCAGCCGCTGGGGGCACGCAGGGCAGTTGAGGGTCTGGGGCGGGGCGGGGCTGGGCTGGGCGGGTGGGGCCAGGGACTGGGGCGGGGTGGGGGCGGGGCCCTCACCGGAACTTGTGCCGACACTTCGGGCAGTGGAACTCGGCCAGCCCCCACATCTTGTCGTGTGGCACTGGCTCGTAGCGCTTCCGGCATTTGCGACATCGGGACACCTGAGGGTGTGCGGAGAGGGGACCAGGGGTGGTCAGAGGCGGCTGGGGTTAGGATCAGGGCCGGCGATGGACTGCAGTGGCTGGCGTTGGCTACAGAAGGGATAGTTACACCAGGGCAGTGGGCAGACACTGGCAATCGGGGTTCCCTGCCAAGAGCAAGCGAGCTGGTTAAGGAAGCATTTGCCACAAGCACAGCACTTAGTAATCAGGGGATGCAAAAGTCAGATTTGGGGTTGTGGTGTGGGGGCCAAGTTTGACTTTTCTTTCTACTGGGGATTGAACCCAAGGCTCTGGCTCTGAGCCACAGCCTCAGCCTTTCTTTAAAAAATTCTTTTTTAAAATTTTGAACAGGGTCTCCATAAGTTCTCCAGGCTGAGCTTGAATTTGCAACCCTCCTGCCTCAGCCTCCCAGAGTGCTGGGATGACAGGAATGAGCCACTGCCCCTGGTTCCATGCTTGATTTCTGAAGTTGCTGTCACACTGCAGCAGCATCAGGGTCAGGCCAGGGGGGCAAGGATTTCAGCCTCTCAAATTCAAGGTCAAAAGTCCAGCTTTGAGGTAGGGCGTGGAGGCGCATGCCTATAATTCCAGTACTTGGGAGGCTAAAGCAGGAGGATCACTGTCCTTTCGAGGCCAGCCTGGGCTACATAGTGAGTTCAAGGCCAGCCGGAATTACATAGTGAGACCATCTCAAAAAAAAAAAAAAAAAAAAAAGTCCAGCTTTGAACACAGCGCTCTGGTGCACGCTGCAATCCCACCACTCGGGAGGCTGAGGCAAGAGGATAGCAAGTTTGATCTATTCAGTATTTTTTTTGTACGGGGAATTGAACTCACAACCTTGCGCTTGCCAGGCAGGTGCTGTGCCGCTGAGCTATATCCCCAGCTAGACAGCAAGTTTGAGCCCATCCTGGGCTGTGCAGTCAGACCTTGTCTCGAAAGAACCAAACACTTGGGAGGCTGAGGCAGGAGGATCATTGCAAGTTCGAGACCAGCCTGGGCTACAAAGTGAGCTCAAGGCCAGCCTGAACGGCACAGCAAGACCCTGTCTCAAAAAGACAAAAGATAAAAACCAACAAAATTGCCAGTGTGGGTCAAGGGCTGAGCTTAGAGGTGAAGGTGAGCTCTGGGGTTGGAGGGCGATGGCTGGGCTCTGAGGACCATCGCGGGGCTGAGGACGGGAGTCAGGATGAAGTTCGGGCAGGAGTCAAGGTCAAATTCTGGGTTGTCACCTGCTTCCGCTCGGCCACGCGGCGCCACCACACGTGGTCACAACTGGAACAGGCGAACTGCCGGTCCACGGCGGGGATGAGGTTGTCCTGGGCGCGCTGGAACATGCGCAGGTTGGCTTCCGTCAGCGGCAGGAGCGAGGTCGCCACGGCCTGTGGGGCGGGTTGGGGACAAGTGGCTTTGCCCTCTTCCTCCACATCCACACTCACGGCCCTCCTCTCCTGACAAACGCGTCCTCCTCCTGCCCCTCGGGGTGCCAGCTCCAGACAGATGGATCCCCACCCGCCACCATCAATGTCCCCCCATGTCCCACAGCCTGGCCTCACTGCAGCAACCAACACACCTGGATGTCCTGGTCCTGCTTCATCTCCTCCGGAGGGTCCTGGACAGAGACACGGGGGCGGGGGGGCAGAAAACTGGGGAAGGCGCCTGTACCTCTTCAGCCTGTTTGCTGGGGGCGGAGCCCATGCACGGGGGCTCCAGAATGGGGAGCCAGGGTTCTGGCTTCATGCAGGAGTAGGGTGCCGGAAGCCGGAAGTGGTGGCACAGGCCCGTAATCTCAGCACTTGAAAGGCTGAAGTAGGAGGATCACTGCAAGTGTGAGGCCAGCCTGGGCTACATAGTGAGTTCAAGGCCGGCCTGAGCTACATAGCGAGACCCTGTCTCGAAAAACAAAACAAACACAAAAACAGTAGGGTGCCCCCCAAGTCACCAGGAGCTGACAGAACAGCACCTGCTTACTGAAAGCTGGGTGTGCGGCCCTAAGTATCCACACAGCAGCCCTGAGAGGTAGACATATCTGTTACCCCATTGCTCAGATGGGAAAACTGAGGCTCAGAGTCTGAGCTCACTCTATGTGAGTGTGGTCGGCAGAGACCTGGACCCTGTACCCCCTCCCTGCCTGACGGTCCTTGATACGGAAGTGATGCCTCACAGATGCAGGTTCGAATCCAGGCTTTACTACTGCCAGCTGTGGGAAAGTGGGCAAGCCCAGGTCCTGATTAACAGGCATCTAAAGTTCAAATGCCGGCTGCCACCTGCTCCGTTCGAGAACCATGCTCAGGGCCTCAGTTTCCTTGTCGGTAGAATGGGAATGATCAGTGACAAAACCCGCCCCTGTGGCCACGAAATTAGTCATCCTCTGCGTCCTGCCACATGGGAGGTGGCCGACCAATGCCACCCGCTGCTGTTATTTCCACCACAGCCTCTAGATGAATAAACGCAAGGTGCGTCACAGACTTGAGTCTCTAACATGACGCCCTTTCAGGCGGGGGAAATCCAGTCCACCGGCCACATGGGCTGAGTGACACATGGCCAAGTTGCACCTGGACGTCACACATTCATTCATTCATCAACCAACACCGAGCGCCCTGCCTCTCCCTCCTTCGTCTCTCCCCCACTGAACCAACCAATCAGCACATAATGAGCGCCCACTGTTTATGCGGTTAAAGCGGGCGACGTTGAGGATGAGCTGGAGAGGGTCCCCACGGCTGGGTCGGGTCCCCTCCTCTAGAGGAGAAGGGGACAGGTTACCTGGGTATCCAGGCCGTTGCTGAGCCCCTGTCCATCTTTCTGCTTGACCCCTGGGGTAGAGTAAGGGAAGGAGCCTTGAAGGAGCTGTCCGGAGTTGCAGGGCGCCCCGAGCCCGCGCCCCAGGCCTCTCCGCCCGCCACGCCCCCTCGGCGCCGCACGTGCCGGCCCGGCCGGGTGACCCGCGGCTCACCGTACACGATGGAGCGCCCCACTCCGGTGTGATCGCTGCCGAATTTCCTCATCAGAACCCCCGCCTTCTTGGGGGACACCTTCCCATGAAACTTCTCGCGCAGGCGCCGGACGCTCTTCTCCAGCTGGGACAGGATAAGAGCGGGGGGCCGGTGGGGGAGGGGAGCCGGAGGCGCCCCGTCCCTCCCCCACCCGGGTGTCACTTCCCGGCCTGAACTTGACCCCGATTTTGGCCTCCGAGTCCCCACCCCCTCCACCCCTACGTGGCATTTCCTGGAGAAAGCCGAAGTCCTCCGGGCCATCGGGGTAGGAGGGTCGCGCACCGGGGCGAGCGCCCCAGCCTCGGCCGGGGGGCAGCTGACCCGCAGCCTCTGACCCCTGACCCTGCAGCCCCCAGCTTCTCGGGGACGCCGCCTTCCTCCTTAGGGGTGCGGGGGTGATGCGGAAGTCGCCGTCCTTTCCCAGGGGGATGATCTGGGTTTAGGACGGGGCAGGGGCTCCCCAGGAACTGCGAGCCTCCCTCCCATCCTAGGCTGCTCCCCAGCGCTCGGCGCCGTCGCGGCCCCCGTGCCCGGGCCTGGCGTGGCCGCGTCCTACCTCCACGCCTTCCTGAGACATGGTGGCGGCGGCGGCGGCGGCGGCTCAGGGCTCCGCGAGGG